GTGAGCGTTTTAAATTCATCGCTGGTCGTCAGTATCACCGATTCGCACGCGCGACAGCGACCGATGCAATACAGGAACAGCGTCGCATATCCGACCACCAACAATGCCGTGTAAACAAACCCTGCCCTGACCAATTAACCGACCCCACACACACACACACAGGGCAGTATCTGGGCATGGACGGTGCAACTGTTCTGTTCTGCGGGCGTTCACACACCCGATCACTTCGCGTACGCGCGAGCGCGCTCCGATCCTTGAGCACCTTCGAGAACTTGGGGCCCTTTCGCCGTGTTTGACGCGGTTTGACTTTTACGTCCACCGCTATATTTGTGCACGGAGTAACTGTACGTGAATATAGACGTCCACACACCTGAACTTCTGTTCACGCGTAGCGTAGTTCACCAGCGAGTCAGACACGCCGCTACTTTGTGCTGCATTTTTATCCTCCTTCCCACTAAGCTGCCATACACCATACTGCGATTGCTACACACGACCGAATTCCAGACAACCACCACATCCCTTGAGGACTCTCGTGAGTTTCCAAAGTCCATTTCCCAAGGCGTGTTTATCTTTTTGGCACATCTCGGCAAATAACATTCCACCAGGAGCGTCAGAAAGGGCCACAATCCAGCTTCAGGCACATTGAGAGGGGCAATAAATAACTGGGCCGGCAATTAAGTGTGCAGGCGTGGGGGGGGGGGGGCTGCGTCTAATGCCGAGGCTACAGTTATTGGTTCGTGGTGCTGTGCGTGCGCAAATTCTTTTAACCGGTCCCGGGCCTCCCCTAGGTCGACTCGGCCTCAAATGAGTCCCTGGTGCGGTGTGTAAACATCGCCACTGGGGAGACAAAGGTGACCGGGCATGGTGTTGGCCACCAACCCCCTCGTATACCGATCCAGCCTTCATAGTTGCAGAGTTAACAGTACTTGCCCCAACAGTGTGTTAAGGCTACACGGGGGATCTTTATCTTTGTGTGTGTACGTGTGTGGCCGTGTAGTGTGTGTGTGCGCGTATATAGGGTGTGGGGAGCTATAGCGTAGCAGTAACCACGCTGTGCTACGAATCCGGTCGACCCGAGTTCGATTCCCGTTAACGGCCAACACCAGTGACAATTTAATTAACTGGTCCTGGGCCTCCCCTAGGTCGACTAAGCCTCAAATTAGTACCTAGTGCGATGTGTAAACATTGCCACTGGGGAGACAAAGGCGGCCGGGCGTGGTGCTGGCCACACCACCATTTCAAGTGTTGTGCATGCCATAATACGTGTTCGATAACAGAACAGTCGGAGGCTACACGAGGGATATTTGTATTTGTGGATGGTTGTATAAATGGAAGGATGCATCAAAATGTATTCATAGATTGAACCGATTCTTACGCTCGTGGTACAAACATCAGATCGCTAAATGTGGAAATTAAGTATTTACAATTTACACAAATTATCTGCTCATATTACATTTAGGCAAACGGATTGCTTAAAACTGTACAGTGTAGTCAAAGCAAACGAGAAACAATACAAACGCGATAGTAAAAAAAAACGAGACCACATTGATTTTCTTTATACAATCGCGACCCCAATTTGCAACTATCCATAAAGTAACTATTTAACTAACTTTTTTTATTCTTGGTTCTTTCGGTAAAGTCACGTAGAAGGGAAATAATAAAATAATAGAAATATAAAATAAGTGCTGTTATTGTTTTATATCAATATTATTTTATTATTTCCCTTCTACGTGACTTTACCGAAAGAACCAAGAATATGAATCCCTGCAGTCACGAAAGCTTTAAATCAAAATTTAACTTCTTGGTTCTTTCGGTAAAGTCACGTAGAATGGAAATAATAAAATAATAAAAATAAAACGTAATAAAATAATAAAAATAAAACATAATAAAATGTTTTATTTTTTTATTTTATTATTTCCATTCTACGTGACTTTACCAAAACAACCAAGAAGATGAATCCCTGCAGACACGAAAGCTTTAAATCGAAATCAAAATTTAACTTTTTATACTATTTTTTATTTTACCAGGTAAAGGCCTACTGAGCTATGTAGCTCTTTTTCAGAAGCGACCTGGCCACAAATGACAGCTCGACAGAGTGGCTTATTACGTGGAAATTTACAAATATTCTAAACGCATGTTTCTAAATGTGGAGTGGAAAAGCCGGATGACCCGGAGAAAAATCCACGCCACCACGGGGGGAGAGACACACAAACTCCAAATATACAGCAGGTGTCAGGGTCGAGATTGAACCCACGACCTCCTGCATACCAGGCGAAGCAGGACACATCTCGCAACCGTGGGGGTCAATAACTCCTTGATGTGTTTGTGTTCGTGTGTTCGTGTATATCGGCGTGTATCTATATATAGGCTTTTTCTATACCGTTATCCTCTCGTAGATGCATTAACGGCATTCTACCGGCATCAGAGTCCGTCAAGTGGCTGCTGCATGTGGCTGATCCGTCCAGGTAAATGTCTAGGGAGTGTGCGCCTTGGGTGAGACTTAATGAAATTCCAATGAGACCCAGAACACTGTGGATGGTGATGGTGGTGGCAAGCAGTGACGGTGCTAGCCATTTCAATTGGGGGGGGGGGGGCATAAGCAGACATTTAGGGGGGCCCCCCTCTTTCAATGCCTAAAGTTCTAGTGAGATGACAGAAGAGCTATGAAGAAGAGATAGAGTTGTAGAGAAATGTAGACAAATAAAAGATGTAGTGAGACAACAGAGGAGACATGCATCAAAGAGAGACGAGAGAGATTTTCTTTTTATTTAGATGTTTATGTTTTTAAGAATCCGGGGCCCATTGAGTCACATGGGGACTCCCGGGTCAATACTTGGGTTAACAGAGCGATGGCTTGTGCCAGACAGACTGAAATGTGAAGGCCTTCCAATGTTTTATTATCTGCGTAGTCAGGGAAAAATGCCGTATCACAAACTGGTACGCGGCACATTTTGTTTTGAAAGTCTGCAAAGGATATTTGCGCATTCACGGCGAGCCAATGCGCGTGCAGTGAGCGCACGTGTGTGTGTGCATGTTTGTGCGCGCACGTCTGTGCGGGCATGTGCGTGCCACTTATTGGCGAACGGCGGTTTGTTGTTGTAGCTTTATGGGAGTATCCAGGGACGAGTGGTGGTACGGCAGCGCGCTGTGAACTCGGGGACCCGAATTAAAATTGTGGCCACGGCGAACTTCAGGGGCGAGCGCTCATTTTGACCAGTCCTGACCTCCCCAACTCCTGGTTCCTTCACCAACCAACACGGACCCAGGGTAGTGAAGTATCGTTTTAAAAACTCATGACTTGGCATGGAGATCTTTGACAAAGGGCTGTACAATTATTACTTCATTATTATTGTATGTATGTGACAGTGTCTGCATGTGTGCGTAATACAGTTTAATGGATGTGCTTTTGTGCACAACGTATACACGAATGTGTCTTTGCGTGCGAGCTTCCCTATAAACATTTGGTGCAAAATATCTTTCGCCAAGGGATTCAAGAATAACGTGTACGTTCTTCAACACCTCTTTAATTTTTTTCCCCTGACCTAGATCAAAGTGAGCTTTTGCATTACCAATCATATTTTATTCATCTAACCACCTCTATAAGAATGTGCAAGACACACTAATTTCACATCTGGAAACTCACCGATCAAGGCAAACACACAACCCATTTTTTGGAACACTCTCAAGAACGACAATTTAAAAAAGCGCGTGCAAATGACGGCAAAGCTCTCGATTATAATCCGTGTTTATACACACATACATATGGCTATGTGAAGGCTCATTCAATAAATAATTGTTCTGTAAGTCACTGGTAGAGAGAAAGTCAAACACCTAAGCGTAACTATGGTATCACCTGCATTGTTAGTGCATTTGCTGCCGATACATCGAAGGCTTGGGCGGCCCACTTCAGAGCCGTCAAGTCTGTTTGCCTACTGCATTGCATTTCTGTGCATTTGAAAATTACCGGGCCGTCGACCCAGGCACCTAGGTTGACCTGGCTTTGAACATTAACGATTTTTTTTTCACAATTGGTTGGTCGTTGAGCCCCTTGTGGTTATGCCTTCCGAAATGTACGCCTCCAACGCGTTCTTTAAATGCTCACTGCTGCCGCAGGCAATGAATTTGTCCGCAGATGAATTCGCTCGATGACCAAATCGCCAAGGTCGAGGAAGCTTAGCAGGGTTCAAGCCTGAACAGATGGTGGCTGGATAGGCGACTATGATGCAAAACAGGTGTTATAGGCTTCTGGGAGGCGTACGGTGTCCAAATCCAATGCCGCGCTGTAAAGTCGACGTTACGATGCCGTCAACGAACCACACTGGGCCAGCATGGTGAGGGTATGGGTCAAGGAACTCACAAGACCCACGCGGTGCGGGGAGATCCTCATCATCCAGCAGTGGATTAACAATAATAGCTGTTACACGTGCATTGCTGTATCACAGTGCTGTACTTTATCAGAGTAAGTAAGGCATCTCAGACATTGACTCAAAACGACCAAAAAAAACACCGCTTGGCTTAAGCCCTTTTTTAAAAAAAACTGTGGTTAGAACACCTGGAAATTCAGAGTTTGCGGGATCGAGTTTTGGTTGCAACAGTTCAGCGAATGGCCGAGGGGAGAGATAGCAAGGTGCGTGCTCTACCTTGTGACCCTCTCACCCCTCGCGTCTAAACCTCATGTAAACGAAACAAAACTTTGGATTTTTTATTTTACCAGGCAAGGCCCACTGAGCTTTGTAGCTCTGGCCACAAATTATCGCCCAACGAAGTGGCTTGTCGCGTGGAATTTATAGCAGCAGCCAAATACTCTAAACGCGTGACGTCGATTCTAAATGTGGAGGGAATAACCGGGAGACCCGGAGAAAAATGCACGGGACCACGGGGAGAACATGCAAACTCCAAATACATAGCAGGTATTAGGGTCGGGATAGAACCCACGGACCTCTTGTACAGCAGGTGATGTAGTTAACATCTCGTCGCCGTATAAAACTCGCAAACTTCTGACCCCCCCTGAGCACGATTGTCGACAGGATGTCCGCAGCTTTCATAAACTTCGTCACGTGATGTGCAAATGAGCAGCAAGCCCTGTGACACTGCCTGGGTTGTGGACAAAGGAGGAGCAGGAAGGGGTGCCTGGTCGTGCGAGGGCTGGAGTTTTCCCGAGTCGGTCCTCCAATACAGAGATCATGTTTATGGCTTTTCGGCAAACATCCGCACAGAGTAGCATTGTACCAGTGCTCACGCATGTACGTGTAAACATGCGTGTCGTGTAACCCGTGTGTTTAAAGTGTAGTGTGTTCAGTGTTTTGCCGTTTCCGTGTCTGCATGTCGCCTACGCTGTCCGCTTTTGTGCATCTGTTGCATGCGATGTACGCACGCGTATGCCACGAGCGTGAATGTGTGCGTTATATACACTGTGGTTTTGTCGATTACCTATTCACGTTTGTGAGCGTATCCGGAGACACAGCGTAGGTGCGCGTGTATTCACATACATAAGAGTGTTCATATGAAATTCCTGAAGACGGCCGGTCAGTCGCAATGTCTTCATGAGCAGCCCTGAGACAGTGGTCAAAATTCCATCTTCCTATGGCGGATGACTGGTCTCGCGACATCACTTCAAGATCGGTTGACCCTCGCAACGTTCTACTCATTGATTTCACCTCATAGAGGTGAAAGTGATGTTGTTGATCGTGACACGGATGATGAGAGGTGACGATTGTTACGGCGATGAGTGACATTCGTGGTGATGACGATGATGAGAGGTAGGTGACGATCATGATGAAAACGATGACGGTGATAATGATGACAACAACGCTGAAGATGCCAATGATTGCGACGACGGCGGCGGCGTGTCGACTGAATCGCCGACCGCGACTCAAACTTCACCCAACCACGAGTCGACCGCGTTCCTCGTGCACATCCCACGCACGCGCAGAAGAGTCACGGACCCCGGCGGGCGACCCGAGCCTCCGCCCCCGCCGCCCGTCGGCGCTCAGAGCGGCATCGCGCAGGGGTAAACGATGTGGACGAAGGGCAGGTTCACCAGCGCCGCGTTCACCACCCCGCACAGCGCCCGCCGCGCCGCCGACGCCGCCCCCCCCCCGCCCCGGCGTTCCGCCTCCGCGGGCCCCACCACCGCCTCCTGCCACAGCGCGGCCATCTCGCCGGCGCCCACGTGGCCGTGCGAGCTGAGCACGCGCCCGTGGGCGCACGGGTGGCGCACGGCGCGCCCCTCGCCGCACAGGAAGGGCTCCGAGCGAGGCCGCGGGGAGCCGGGGATGCGCGACGCGCACACCCCCAGGAAGACGTCGTCGATGTAGAGGTCGCGGCGCAGGGTGAGCGCGGCGCGGTAGGCGCGGCGCGCCAGCCCCGCCGACACCACGTAGGCGGCGCCCGCCGTGTAGTCCGGGTAGGCGGGCAGGGGGTAGATGTCGGTCGGCACGAAGTACTTGCTGGAGCGGGAGCGCACCGGCGGGGCGCCGCGGTGCACGTGGCCTACCCAGAAGTCCCTGTCGACGGTGGGGGGGGGGGGATGTTCGTCATTTCTCGCCATCGTACGCAGCCAACTGCGCTAGATAGAGGGTGCGAAAGGAGTAAGTTACGAAAATAAATTGAAATATTCAAATGCGGTGGAGACGGCGAGATTAGACCGTGACCTACATGAGGATGGATGTGACAATGCAGCGAGCGATAGAGACAATGGGAGAGACTGCCACGTGCTGCAAGCGGTCACCTTTGTCAGAATTTCTTATTTTGATCCTATGTCTGGCCAAAGACGACAACCTGTGGCGTTTTAGCCAAGGCCTCCATCTGTGGATTGTTGTCATTCTCTTCGTCTAGTTGTCTAAAGCAGCCAAAGATGTCGTACACCCTTGAGTTATTCATTGTCAGTGTGAGGGGGCACAATTATGACCCTCTCCCGATATTATCTGGCCAGTCAACCACTTAAATACATTTTTACGTACATACTAGCAAACCGCACGTCTTTTTGACGTGACCGTCCATCCGTCTCCAGCCAGCCAGGAAAAAGAACTTGCATTCTTATGCAGAGCTCTGTCTCGTCAACCTTTCTCTTGCCTGGTCTGTACTGTAGATCCAAATTAGTATCTTGATTTCTCACTTTGTCTGTTTCTGAATTCCCCGTCTCCACCCACTTCCCTCCCCACTGTATCTCACCCACTTCCCTACCTGTTTCTCTCTCTCTCTCTCTGAACTCTCACCCTCGCTCACCATATTCCCAACTCTCCCTTTCCCATCTCAATCTCTCTTGCCCTTCTCTCCCTGAATCCTCCCTTCCCACTGCATGTTGCCTTTCAGCACTCTCCTCTTTCCGTTTCACACCTTTAACCGCTCTCCCTTGGCCCCTCTACCTCTCCATCTCTACCTCCCTCCTCTAACTTTCTCACTCACCTCCATCCTCTAGCTCTCTCACTCACCTCCAGTTCCCCTCCCTTATCTCCCGCCCTTCGTTTTCACGCAATACAGTGGCACGAGTAGGAGAGTGGGATGCACAGGTGGGTGGGTGGGTGGGGGTGAGGCGTGATGTCAGCTCGACGCACGGACCCGGCTCAACTCCGTGGGACGCGGGCGACGTCACCGTGCAGATGTGCGCTGTGACGTCGCCACCGAGCATGCTCTGTTGGGAGCGAGGCATCCAGCCAGGCAGGAATAAACCCAGGTCATCCGGCCAAAAGACATTTTACTCAGGTAGTACGATATACATGGTGGCTATGTACGCCTGTAAGTCCAGCGCTTTGGATGTGAAGGCTGGTGAATCACATGAAGATGTCAAACCCCTTTCTCATGGACGCTCTTGTGGTCACCATCTCCTGCCTTGTTAGGGAAATGGCAGTACGGCAAGTGGATTAACTTTTATCCATTCGGGGATTGTGCTATGATGAAGAGCCATTGCCCGAAACACCGCACGCTATTTATTTATTCCCTTCCAAGGCCCACAGTGTTGTTGGCGAGCTCGATTATTTTTTTATTGTCCGGGGATGGAGCGTTACGCGGCCCCGACCCCGTCGCGCGTGCGAGTGGGTTTCCCCGCACGCGGACGCTCGTTTTAAAATGGAGTTGGCCAAATTTCACAACGCAGGATTACAGAGATCGGGAAAAATAGCTGACACCCCGGTTTCTGGCTACCTTCAAACTTCGCCCGTGGTTTCCCACACGCACCCGTGCCAAAACTGCACAACGTTACCACCCCCTCCCCCCCCCAAGACGCAGTGGGACATGTGTGACGCTTAAATAAAATAGTATTATGATTCTTGTCTTTAAACTGCGTGTTCCTTGAGGGCGTTTTTGGCACTAACTCCGTGAACGGATTGAATACTGCTGGGGCTCGGGCTGGTGGGGAGCGGGCTGGTGGGGAGCGGGCTGGTGGGGCTCGGGCTGGTGGGGAGCAGGCTGGTGGGGAGCGGGCTGGTGGGGAGCGGGCTGGTGGGGAGCGGGCTGGTGGGGCGCGGGCTGGTGGGGCGCGGGCTGGTGGGGAGCGGGCTGGTGGGGAGCGGGCTGGTGGGGAGCGGGCTGGTGGGGAGCGGGCTGGTGGGGAGCGGGCTGGTGGGGAGCGGGCTGGTGGGGAGCGGGCTGGTGGGGATCGGGCTGGTGGGGAGCGGGCTGGTGGGGAGCGGGCTGGTGGGGCGCGGGCTGGTGGGGAGCGGGCTGGTGGGGCGCGGGCTGGTGGGGAGCGGGCTCACGTAGTGCTGGAGGGCACGGGGATGCAGCCCGTCACGGGCAACCCGTCGCGTACCTGGGCACCTCGCCTCCGTTGCCGCGCTTGACGCCCAGCAGGTACCGCACCACGTTGGGCGTGTGGATGAAGACGTCGTCGTCGACGCTCATCACGAAGTCGGCGTGCGGGCAGAAGCTGTCCACCCAGCGCAGCTGCGCCACCAGCTTGGTGGTGAGGTTATAGAAGTCGTCCACAAAGTCCTCCTGCACGATGTCCCCGTGCTCCGCGTCCTCCTCGCGGAGTCGGGCCTGCAGCGCAGAATTCACTCCCCCACCTCCGCCGCCGCCGTCCTTGGGAAGCCCCACGATGAACATCACCCTCACCATCCCGCGCCCACCTTTGCCGCCTTCGCCACGCGGCTCGCCACCGTCCGACGCCAATTCCGATTTGTGGCCAACGCGCCGATCGCCAGACGTCCCGCGCGTCGACCCGTCCGGCCCGAGGGCCTCGTGCGGCCGCCCCCACGTGGCGCGGATCGCGTCGCGCCTTTCGCGATTTCCCGGCGGCGTTTTGACGAGCGCCAGCAAGAGCACCGCTTCGTCGGCTCTACCGCACGCGTCCGGGTGGTTGATGAGGTAGGTGTGCGTGTGCGGGAAGCGCGCCTTCCTGTCGGCCGTGCCCAGCGCCTCGAAGTCGTTGATGACGTAGCGGTACGAGTAGGACACGATGTGGCTGGCCACCGAGCTCTCGAGGAAGGCCGTGCGATACACGATCGCCACGCACACCAGCAACTGGATGACCAGCAGCTGCAGGAAGCGCTTGCGCCGCTTGATGAGAGCGGTCACCAACTGCTGGGGCCAACTCGGGCAGCCTCGAGTGAGGAGATTCATCCCGCTTGTCGTTTGAGGGCAAAAGTCGAGAAGTGGATTCGACTGTCTGCCCTGGTGTTGTGCGTGGAGACACCGCAAGGCGTGACGTAAGTTTTGCAAGAATGCGGTTTCCTGGAGGAGATGGTGGAGGGAAGGGGGTGAAACGGGGAGGAGGAAGCGTGGAGAATGAGACAAACGTACATATGTTGAACTTCTTTCGCGCCATACGTAGCCAACCGTGCTATGTATGTATGTATGTAGAACTTCGTTTGCAATCGTGCTACTCGGAGGTGAAGGAGTAGGACAACCAACTAAACACAGAGCAGTTCTGAAGAAATGAGTGGAGGTCCTTCTGCCAGCAGTGCCGTGTGTAAGGCTGATCTTGAGGTGTGCTGGTTTTTATATGCATAAACTCAATATGCTGTTATTATTTTACAATAATTGCATTTCCTGGTATGGCCATCATTATAAAAGTCCACTTTGTTTCCAATTGAACCGGGCTGTGTGCAGCTCTTTAGTCAGATGTGGAAATCCCCCAATTCATTTGGCAGGGTTGTTAATCTTATAATCATTATACAACCAGCCACTGTTGATGACTCACAAAGTGGCACCACATTTGATCTCGCCTACGCCAGAGGCAGAGTGAAGTGTTTCGAGTTTGATCGCTGAAGTGAAATTTCAAATCGCGTGGCTTCCAACTACCAGTCTCACACGATCGATCCACTGCACCAAATCGTAAAAGGAAAGACTTTCAATTTGTTTTGTTTACACCATGTGTTACCTCCGACATTAACACTGATGTATAGCCAAGAATAAATGTGACTATATCTACACCAAAATTACCGTTGTCTGCAGCGTGTGTTACCCTATTGTCTCACTCAATCTGCATCAAATTTTCTGGATAAATTCCTCCTGTCGATCGTGTCTTTCCCCCAGATAATTAGAGTGGCCCAGATGTAGGATGTCCAGATATGGAGATATAACAAACCAGTAGCTAACATAGAAAGAAAAAAATAGACCTCATAATTCCTGAAGAGAGGCGGGGGGGGGGGGTGATCACAGCCATACAACTGACTCAAACCGGGAACGTTTGAATGTCCCGTGAAGACTCTCAAGATTTCCCAGCCACAGCTGTCTCAACAAAGAGGACTAACCTGGGGGGGGGGGGGGAAATAGATCAGGTGGCTATGCCACCACCCAGAAGCGGCAGCAATATCATCCTTTCGTCTGTATTTACTAAGTAATAAATGCACTTTTTGAGGAAATTGTTTGTGGGGCGGGGGGAGGCTCAGGTAAAATAGTGCCGCCCATATCGACGTGGATAAGAGGAGTTTATCTTGTTCCGATAACACTTTGGGCTGTGTCCAAAAATATTCGATTTTCTTTATGTTTTTCTGCTATAGAGTAAAAAAAAAAGGTAAAAGCGCAGGGCTGCAAGTGCTCGCTCACACCACCGCTGGCAGAAGGGCCTGCACGGCGGCAGGGAGCTCCCTCTAGTAGAGCTCCCTCTCGTGAGTGTTTTTGGCCTACTCTTCCACGCTGGCCAGGTGTCTCAGATAGAGGTGGGCATACCCACACTTCACCCCGCCGCACGTGTGAACCTGCCGATTGACGAACTGCGTGGTACCCATTTAAACTGGTGGGTGGACATTGACAGAAGGTGCCGGGAGGTCTGATCGAACCAGCAACCTCTGACACGCAGGTCCAGTGCTGCTACTAACCATTGCGCTGCTAACCATTGCAACCCAGAGCATCCCTTTCTATCACGGAACAGTGTCCATGATGACAGCTGAGAAGTCGTTTCAGCTAGCGGTCATGAACCACTCCCAATGCTTAATTCTTATTCGTATTTTACTGTCAAAGATCTGTAGATGTTGTTTTATAGCCTGTACCAGCGCTAAGTACCCGGCGTTGCCCGGGTGAAAAAGACGGACACACACATCGACTTACACACAGACATCGACCCACACACATAGAAACACATCGACTTACACGCACACACATACACACACATATGGACTCACACAGACAGACATCGACTTTAGACACACACACATGGAGTTACACACACATACATAGACTCACAGACACATTGACCTACACACACGCATATGGACTTACAAAGACAGAAATATCGACTAAGACACACACACAGGGACTTACACACACATGGACCCACGCAGACACATCGACTTACAGACACACACCGACTAACGCACACACATCGACTTACAGACACAAATCGACTCACGCACACACATCGACTTACAGACACAAATCGACTCACGCACACACATCGACTTACAGACACAAATCGACTCACGCACACACATCGACTTACAGACACACATCGACTTACACACACACATCGACTTACAGACACAAATCGACTCACGCACACACATCGACTTACGCACACACATCGACTTACAGGCACAACATCGACTCACGCACACACATCGACTTACAGACACAAATCGACTCACGCACACACATCGACTTACAGACACAAATCGACTCACGCACACACATCGACTTACAGACACACATCGACTAACGCACACACATCGACTTACAGACAAAAATCGACTCACGCACACACATCGACTTACAGACACAAATCGACTCACGCACACACATCGACTTACAGACACACATCGACTCACACACACACATACATAGACTCACACACACAGACATATGAACTTACACAGACATATCGATGCACACACACACATGGACTCTCACACACATTGTCATACACACATCGACTGACACACAGACTCCCACACAAACATACATGGACTCACACACGCACATAGAGCCACACACACATGGACTGACACACACACATGGACGTACGCACACACACACACATGTACGTACAGACACACACACATGGACTCACACGCACAGATGGACCAAAACACACAGAAAGAAATGGACTTACACTGACTCACATGGAGCGACGCACACACATCGACTCTGACACACAGACACATCGACTTACACACACACATCGCCGCAGACACGCACATCGACCCACACGCACACATGGACTTAGACGCAGGCATTATTATTGTGAAAAGAAGTAACTTAATTTAAAAAGAGTAGTTGTCTACACACGCACACACATTGACTACCACACAAACATGGACTTACGCACACAAACATCGACGGTATGCACTATCACTACAGCAGTGCATACCGACTGTGGTGGTACCTGCTAATAATACAGCAGTGCATACTGTGGTGGTACCTGCTTTGATAACAGTAGTGTATACTGTGGTGTAAGCTATGATTACAGCAGGCGCGTGTGGATTGCTGCTATGATGACAGCAGTGCATAGGGACTGTGGTGGTACCTGCTAGCACTACAGTAGTACATGCTGACTGTATAGCAGTATATATGGAATGTATAGCACAAAGTAGTAAGCAGACAGAGTGCCGTGGTGAGGCCTAGTCCCGTGCAGAGCCCCCGGCCTCGCCTAGATTTCCCAGCCCGCCGAGGTGTGACCTTGGCAGGCTGGGGGCTGGGCCGCTCCCCCCGGCCACGCGACAATAATGGCATGTAAGCGCTAGAAGAATAATATGTAGGGGCTCTATAATAGTTTCAGGACGCATTGGGGTATCAATGGGGTGGGGTGGAGAGAAGAGGACATAGCACTGTGAAGAATGTACGTGTTTGGTGTTTTTGCTGCATGTGTAAGGCGAATGAAAATTTGTGGCGATCGTGTGTGCGTTTCTAGGGGCAACCCATGTGAGCAGTGCAAATTGTAATGAGAAAAATGCTTATAAGACTAATTTGTGGGACTTAGGTCTTATATAATGCATATAATACAAAAGTGTGCGACTTTCCTTGGGCGATGGCGCGTGTGGATTGCTGGGGGTAACCTAGTGGGCGCAAGTGCAGCTGGCTGCGTTGTCAGCCCGCGCGCGGCGAAGAGAATAAACAAGAGATAAAATAATTAAATAATAAAACTATCGCCAAAAAACGCTAATTTAACTAATTTAAATGTGACGGACGTGAAAAAGGAATAGACTATTCCCACCGCGGGGCTTAGGGCGTGCTGGCTGTCAAATTCTTTTCTACGTCGACCCCACCGTTTGAGAGCCAAATCCCTCGCAAGCACGCGGAGACTTTTATATATGTAAGAGAAAGAAAAAAAATAAGAATAAAGATGTATATATGTATTGTGTGTGTGTATATATGTGGAAGTGGTAGTATAGGGGTTAGAACACTGCGCTACGAACCCGGCGATCCGCGTTTGAGTCCCACTCATGGCCAACACCAGTGACAATTATCTGAACCGGTCCCGGGCCTCCCCTAGGTCGACTCGGACTCAAATGAGTCCCTTGTGCGGTGTGCAAACATCGCCACTGGGGGAGACAAAGGTGGCCGGGCGTGGTGCCGATCAACCACACCCTCGTGTGCCGTTCCGGCCTTCATAGGTGCTCGCTAACAGCACTCGCCCCAACAGTCTGTTAAGGCTATTCCGGGGATCTATTGTATTTGTCTTTGTATACGGCAAAGACAATTGATTGTGAACATACAATGTCCGCATCATCGTCACAAATTACACTTCCTTTGTGTCTCTCACAATGCGCGAGTGCTCAAAATAAACACCGTGTATGTTCAAGGACATTTGAGCAGCCTGCTTTGTTGATGCAAATAAAAACCCGATGCCCAAGTAAATCGAAGTGTAGGATAATCAGGTGGAGTAGCACCAATGGCCAAGCCGGTACTGAATGAAGGCACTACATCAGCGGGCATCCTTTGCTCGTACATGCGATTTGTGTCTAGTTTCCTCCCGCATCTCGAGGCACGACCCCATCAAACGCCGGTCTTTAAAAGACAACTCCGTAGGATCGTCATTGGCCATGATCAATCCACTGCTGGATGATGGCTTCCCATCGCTGCCAGCATCTCTCAAAGTCCTGCAATGTAAGGGATCCACCGAGGGCCCGCACTTGAACCAATGTCATCGCTCCGCCTCTGTGGTGGATGTCCTCGCGAAATTGCGTTCCATTCCCGGCACATCGCACTGTTTAACATCGCATCGCAACGGAATGCGATTCAGGTGAATAATTATGTTGACAACACAGGTATCAGGTGTGTACACGAGACGTTATTTGTGTTGTGCAGCATCGAATGGAGCTCTGCTCATTTCGTTTGGTTGAACTTTTACCCACAATGCTCCACAGCAACGCATGTTCAGTTTGTAGTTTGGAGGATTGTACACCACATCGACTGCACAAACCATGGCAGTTGCCGATACCTGATGCACAAATGGAAAATATTTAAACTCTCCGGTATGTACCACTGTGATCATGCAGAACTGGCCGTACAATGTATAACGACGCAATGCCCGATCCACAAATGCGAAGGAGACATCGCAACCATGCATGTCGCGGGTAACTCGCTTGACCACCTGAATGTGAAATTGTAGCCGTTGCAGAATATTCACAGAGGATGTGCAAGACAAACTCGGTGTGCCAGATTCACTTCCTTGTGTGCAAGTCGTATCACAACAGCGGCAAAGGAATTGATCCACACCATCGATAAAGAGCCGGGGTCAGTTAGGTCAGACACGTCTTTTTTATCGCAGTGAGCAGGTAAAAAAGTTGTTATAACAGTTGACATACACGATTTGAAACTTCCACAATGTAGGTGTTTGTGAGTTATATAGCGTAAATATAAATGCGTCGTTAAAGCCGCCACCACACGACACGGCCAATCAGTAAGGTTTGTCACGTAAACAGAACGTGCCAATTCGTTACTAGTACAGCACACCGATTGTGTGTTGGAGAGCAAATCTACAACATTCACAATCAGAGTACAAATTTGCTATCCAACACACCGGTGCGCTGTACTAGTAATGAATTGGCATGTTTTGTTTACGTGACAAACCTTACTGTGGCTGTGTCGGTGGTGGCGGGTTTAAAGACATTTATATTCACGCTATATAACCCACAAAAAACCTATATTATGGATGATATTGGTCGCGATAGCCTACATGTTAAACTAACTAAAACATTATCAGCAAACATGTTTCAGGCTCTTGACCACAAACTCGCAGGTGGATCTTAACTCGTCGCATGCACATTTTCCCGTGGTTAATTCCACAAAGATACCAAGATTCCCGCACGCACTTGCAACTGCGGATCCCTCTGACGGAGCCAGAGTAACGCGTAGTTCTGGTGCCAGAGTGGAATATTTGTGTGTGTGCGTCTTTCTAAACTGGTATTGTGAGAGTAACTAGATCGTATATACCTGGTAGCAGTTGCAATCACTACAATACGAAGAATTTATAAAGTGTTCAAATACCAGAGGGCATCCTTCGAGGCAAATCATCCTTGTGAAAATACGCACGTGAACAAAGTCAAGACACCACCAGTCTCAAATAAATCAATTCTACATTTTTCTCAGCCCCCCAAAGCGGTCTGCTTTAAAGAGAGACGAAAAAAAAACCGGCACGGTCTGGCCAAGACCAAGTGACTGTGGAACTGGCCTGATTACTCTGCACGTGCTGCCGAGTCGTGATCACCCCCCCCCCACCCCTATTACAACACATTTCCTGAGCAATGATTCAACATTTCTATCGGGGTGCGGGGGGGGCGTGGGGGGCGTTGAGACGTGGGGGGGGGGGCTGGTGGGAGTTGGGGGGGGGGGTTGAGAGCCTTCATCCACACACCTCCGATTAGCACGCTTGGCTGCGTACGGTGCGAAAGAAGTTCAACGCACGTACATCCGGGGAAGGGGGGCACCCCAGCAAACCCCGTTGCCCCCCCTCCCACACACTCTTATGTGTCTGAATCTGAATGCAGACACCACGAAGTTCACAACTTGGCATGCAGGTGGTTTGCAAGGGACTTGTTGGTGCGTTTGGGTTTTTTGTGGTCATGGCTGCAGCGTTTAGTTGGCCTCATGCCCACGGGGAATCAGGCTACAACTTAAGCAATGTCGAGGGTCCACTCTGTGTGTGTGCGCTTGTGTGTGTGTCTTTATGTCTGTGTGGAGCGGTAGTGCAGCGGTTAGCGCTACGCTGCGCTTCGAACCCGATGACCCGGGTTCGATTCCCACTCACGGCCAACACCCAGTTACGCTTATCTGAACCGGGCCTCCCCTAGGTCGACTCAGCCTCAATGAGAACCTGGTGCGATGCGTAGTAAATGTCGCCACTAGGGAGACAAAGGCGGCCGGGCGTAGTGTTGGCCACCCACCCCCTCGTGTGAAGTGGCAGCCTGCATAGGTGCTCGCTAAAAGCACTTGCCCCAACAGCCTGTTAAGGCTATACGGGGGATCTTTGTCTGCTTTCTGTTGCATTGTATCTTTGTCCCGTGTGTCTATTCGCGCGGGGGAGCTGTGGTGTAATCCCAGCGATCCAACTTCGATTCCCACTCACAGACAATATCGGTGGAAATATCTGAACTGGTCGTGGGCCTCCCCTAGGTCTATTCGGCCTTAAATGGGGACCTGGTGCGTCGTGTAAACATCAGGTTTGGGGAGGCAAAGATGACTGGGGGTGCTGTTGTCCACCCACCCACTTACATAATTTTGCCAGCTTTAAATAGGAGCTCGCTAACAGGCCCCTTGCCCCAACAGTCTTGTTACATGGGGAGATATTTGTATTTGATGATAAAAAAAATATATTTGTACGTGTCAGTGTGCCTCTCTTTGTGTGTATGGGTGTGCATGTATTTGTATTTACCTTTCAAGCTGTGCGTTTCGCACGGATGCACTTTCTATTACGCACGCGCTTGAAATGTACTTTGCCGAGTCGGCGAGAAGTCGCTGAGGGCGTGATGCGTTTCCTCTTTCATGCCTATTGTTGTATGCAATGAAAACCAATTTTTTTTATAAATTATTATATCAGGTAAGGCCCGTTGAGCCGTAAAATTGATTATCTGAACCGGTCATGGGCCTCCCCTAGGTCGACTCAGCCTCAAATGAGTACCTGGTGCGGTGTGTAAAACATGACCACTGGGGAGACAAAGGCGGTCGGGAGTGGTGCTGGCCACCCACCCCCTCGTGTGCCGTGCCGGCCTTCATAGGTGCTCGCTAACGGCACTTGCCCCAACATTCTGTGAAGGCTACACGGGGGATCTTTGTATTTTATGTATGTGTGATATATGCATGTGGATGGTATTTGTGTTAAGGTTTGACAGCATTTATTAAAGCCAGCTGTGAGGTAGTGAAAACACGACATCTCTTTTTAAATGCCTTGAACAGTCATGCAGGCATATTTTAACTAAATATATATAAAAACCAAACTGTGTACAGTCTATCACAAACATATATTGTGCTCATTGTTCTTGTAGGGCTGGTGTTGATAACGAAGACCAACAACTAACTATCATTTTACATTGAGGTTGATGAGCCAGATGATTGCGTCATATCTTACTCTTACAGATCAATCGGTACCACGCCGGTTGCATTTTTTAGTTTGGATAGTTTCAAATAATGTTTAAAGTTTTGTGTGTGTGTAGCAACAGTCTGGCTGTCAGATGAAATGTGCCACTCTGCACTGGATGGGCATTGTGCTAATCCAGCTTCTATCCCTGTTGGTTCAATAAAGGCCTCTCCAAACAGAGGCGATCCGCCAGCACAAAGGATGGGCACAATACTGCATGTTGAGGATGATGTACTAATTCTAGAACCGACACGTTACATCATGCTTTTGTTCAACGCCCAGGTGACTTTTTCGAACGGACTGTAATGGCGCGTACTCTTGTATGGAAACACTCGAGGTTCATAATGACTCAAAGAACATCATGGTAAAAGTATCCCTTTGCTGGATGAGGGCTTCACTGTGCCCATCCGTCGCGAGGGTTCGTTTGACCGTACATTTTCTTTTTACAAAGCTGCTCAGCGTGGTTTGGTGAAGGGGTGGTGTGTCCAGGACCGATTCGGGTGTTAGCCTTTGGCTGGGAATCAGAACTCGGGTCTTTGGGTTCATGGCGGAGTGCCGTGACCCACTTTGGCACCGCTCTACCCCTTTCCTTACACTGCATATACCTCGTGAGTTTCACAGTAAAGCGCACCTCCGGTTCGCACGGTTGGCTACGTACGGTGCGAAAGAAGTTCAACATACGTAACGTACAGAACGGGTTTTGTCGCTCAGTTGGGAAAATGCAACGTCCACACGCGCGCAAACACAACGTGTGAAAAAACTCTCCACCACAATGACAACAGTTCGCTATTGTCCGCTCGCCGAGTACTTATTCGAATGACCGTCACGTCACTGGACGGGTTAAGGGTGCTCGACCGTGACACGCGGTTGTGGCAACGTCGTAACTTGTCGCCAATTGACCTAACGACCTCCAGTGTTTGGTGGCTCAGAGGAAGACCAAAGCCGATGTTGGAAAGCGTCTCCTGTTAATGCGAACATCGAAACCGCACTGGAGGATCGGGGAATCTCAACTAGCGAATTCTTCACCGTGGCTATTTGTGAGGGGAATACAGACAGCATCCACCACTGCTATATTTACTTTACCAGGTAAGGCCCCAACTGAGCTGAACAGTTATTTTTCAGAAGCAACCTGGCCATCTCAAATGACAGCTCAACGAAGTGGCCTATCATCACGTGCACACGAATGGCAGCCAAGTACACTAAAAGCAAAACGTTGATTCTAAACGTGGAGGGAAAAACCGCAGGAACCAGAGAAAAATCCACGCGACCCCGGGGAGAGAGACAAGCAAACTTACAAATTATACATGCGGCAGGGTGAGGATCGAACCCACAACCTCCTGTATAGCAGGCGAGGTATGTAACATTTCTCCACCGTGGCGTCCCATCTGCAAAGGTTCAGCGCACTCCCCCAGACTTCGTCGTGGTTAAGCGGACTTCGTTCCCACTGAACTGAAATCATATTAAGTTTTGCGAAGCTGCTGGTTTTCTGCCTCTGTGCCGGCGCCACTGTTGCTGCGCTGCCTTGCACCAGAGGTCGCAAACGGGTTTTGATTCCTTACCCGTACCCGGCCTGCACCAGGGTCGCAAACGGGTGCCCGTACCCGGCCGTACCCGTACCCTACCTGTACCCGGCCAGGGTACGGGTAGGGTACGGGTATCTGATTGCGACCTCTGGGATGAAGCCATGTTGCAGGCGCGAGTGGGTTGATTCTAGGAACTTGAATTGTGAGAAGAGACAAGACGTTGGGAAATGAGTGACAAACGGTTACTCACCAGTGACTCACAGCCTACCCGTACCCGGCCGCACCAGGGTCGCAAACGGGTACTCGTACCCGGCCGGGTATCGGGTAGGGTACAGGGTATCGCGTACCCGATTGCGACCTCTGCCTTGCACGCAGTACGGCATTTTCAAATGGGTTCATCACGAGCACAACCGGCATTCGTGCCACCTTGTGAAAGGGAAGAAAAACGCCGACTCGGGAACACTGGGAAATTTTAGCGAAAAACCCAAAGCGAGATGCTCGAAGCTGGATAATTTCGTTCAGCGTCACAGTGAGAGAGAGACACGTGTTGTGGTGAACGGCTCGCACACAATCTCATCTCCCGGCGCGGCAGCTAAAGAAAGTTTCTTAAATCCACCCCCCTCCCCTGTCCACCCAGCAGGATAAACGGATACACCACAATTATTCGATTGGCAGATTGTGACTGGTGGGCCCAAAGCGTTGAGTCCTCCTCCCACCTCATTCAAGAGGTTGTGGCCAGCGTGTTAAGTGCCATTGTCTTTACTCCGCACCTCCGATCGGCACGGTTGGCCTACGTACGGCGTGAAATGAGTTCAACGTACGCACCGTACACATGGGAGAGTAGGCCAAAGTTCCCTCCAGAGCTCTGTCTTGCGGAGGCCCTTCTGCCAGCAGTGACATGCGCAAGCAATTTCAGGATTGCACCTTTGCCTTCAGCACCTGATCCAGTGCAAGACAATCATTTGATAGTTTTTTTTTCACTGCTTTCGGAGTGATGGCTTCACAGGAGCCTATACTTAATCCCCGTATCTTAAGATATGCAGGCATGGTTTTACGTGCGTGCGTATGTACGTGTGAAGCTGCATTTGCGCACGTGTGTGTGTTTCAGTTTGGGTCATGTAGCCCGCATGCCCAGCCACCGCATGTCCAAACAGCTTTTGTTCGGCCGGATCGAGGGGGCTAGACGGGCACGTCACGGGCTAGAGAAGAGATGGAGTGATGTGGTACAGGAGGACATGGAGCTGAGTGGTCTTGCCGATGACTGGTACTAGCGGTGTCAAGATCGGCCTCAGTGGAGGAGGCTCGTGAAGGACGCTACTGGGCAGTTGGAGGCAGTCGCCCTCCAACAACAACGGAGGGCGGAGGAGCGACGCTCACAACAACGAGCAGAGAGCCGGGTGGCTAAAGCACAGCAAGTTGGCACAGTAGTGGGCACAGGTGTTGCATCAGCTACTCATCTCGGTCATCTCAGTCAGTCGACCCGTGGCACCTGCTGGGTCTGCCCCGTGACCTCCTGCCAGCGGGCGTTCGACAACTTCACGTGGCCTCAATGTGCACCTAGCCTGGCACAAGCGTCGTGGTGACGTCACCGCCACTTAGTGGCGAATGGCGGTTGTTGTTGTTGTTTCAGTTTGTACGAGTGCACATCGGGCTGTTGGGGCAAGTGGTGTTAGCGAGCACCTATGCAGGCTGGCACTGCACACGAGGGGGGTGGGTGACCAACATCACTCCCGGCCGTATTGCGACGTTTACTACGCATCGCACCAGGTTCTGAACCGGTTCCGGGCCTCCCCTAGGTCGACTCATCCTCAAATGCGTACATGTTGTGGTATGTAAACATCATCAGTGGGGAGACAAAGGTGGTCGGGCGTGGTGCTAGCCACCCATCGGGGCATGTGCTAGGCGAACAGCACTTTCCTCAACAGCCTGTGCAGGCTGTACGGGGGATCTTTGTCTTTATTTTTAAATCCTTTATATTAAGTTCACTTGCGTGCTTGCTTGCTTACGACCGTGCAAATCTTTCGGTCGTTTTTTAACCCACTTCCCGTGATCCAATCGAGCTGACATTTTGCACACAGACTCGTTGTGCGTGACAATTTATTTTCGTGAAATTTTTTTTCCAAAATTTTCCACTTTTTAGGAAAAAAATAATTTCATATTTAATTTTAAATACCAATGTGATAAAAATGAAACTCTTACTCAAGAAAAACAAATGAATAATAAAATAAAACCGATGCCACGCATATAAAGGATTTATAGTGAAAAGCTTTGTTTTTACGGGTTAATTTTTTTATGCGCGAAGTTGCATTTTCGCAAGTGTGTACGCGTTGGAGTTGGCACGATTGCACATCTGTGCCTGTATCATTGTGCTTGCATGTGCGAGTTTATATGTATCTATGTATGTATGTGTTTTTTTAAGTGTGCCGTGGTAGACATCATTATGATCCCGGCAACAAAGATGGTTTTGTACCATGGAAGTCGCCCTTAAATAGGCGCTCACCAACAGCAGTTGCCATGGCAACGTTACGCGTTTAACAAACATTACACTTTGCGCGCGTGCAAAAAGTTGCAATAAAAATTAATTTCCCAAATTCCTGACTACGTGGGTGGGAGTTTGTGAGGGTCCCGATCCCTCTCTAAACAAACCCAGAGCTCATAAAACCTGCAGAATCGGATCGCGAAACGCGCACGTGTAGCGCCGTGGGTAGGCCGCACTTACCCGCAATGGCCGTCAGTGCCCACCAGGGGGAGGGGCTTGTGGGGTGTTCTAGAATCTCCCGTAGCCCCTCCCACCAGGGGGAGGGGCTTGAGGGGTGTTCTAGAATCCCCATGGCCCCTCCCACCAGGGGGAGGGGCTTGAGGGATGTTCTAGAATCCCCCGTGGCCCCTCCCACCAGGGGGAGGGGCTTGTGGAGTGTTCTAGAATCTCCCGTGGCCCCTCCCACCAGGGGGAGGGGCTTGAGGGGTGTTCTAGAATCCCCCGTGGCCCCTCCCAACAGGGGGAGGGGCTTGTGGGGTGTTCTAGAATCCCCCGTGGCCCCTCCCACCAGGGGGAGGGGCTTGAGGGGTGTTCTAGAATCCCCCGTGGCCCCTCCCACCAGGGGGAGGGGCTTGTGGGGTGTTCTAGAATCCCCGTGGCCCCTCCCACCAGGGGGAGGGGCTTGAAGGATGTTCTAGAATCTCCCGTGGCCCCTCCCACCAGGGGGAGGGGCTTGAGGGGTGTTCTAGGATCCCCGCGGCCCCTCCCACCAGGGGGAGGGGCTTGTGGGGTGTTCTAGAATCCCCCTTGGCCCCTCCCACCAGGGGGAGGGGCTTGTCGGGTGTTCTAGAATCCCCCGCGGCCCCTCCCACCAGGGGGAGGGGCTTGTGGGGTGTTCTAGGATCCCCCGTGGTCCCTCCCACCAGGGGGAGGGGCTTGTGGGGTGTTCTAGAAACCCCCGTGGCCCCTCCCACCAGGGGGAGGGGCTTGTGGGGTGTTCTAGAATCCCCCGCGGCCCCTCCCACCAGGGGGAGGGGCTTGTGGGGTGTTCTAGAATCCCGTGGCCCCTCCCACCAGGGGGAGGGGCTTGTGGGGTGTTCTAGAATCCCCGTGGCCCCTCCCACCAGGGGGAGGGGCTTGTGGGGTGTTCTAGAATCCCCCGTGGCCCCTCCCACCAGGGGGAGAGGCTTGTGGGGTGTTCTAGAATCTGTGGCCCCTCCCATCAGGGGGAGGGGCTTGAGGGGTGTTCTAGAATCCCGTGGCCCCTCCCACCAGGGGGAGGGGCTTGTGGGGT